TTTCACCCAATCAGTTCCCTTAACCCACAATTTGAACCACCCATCTTTCTACAGAAAATAAAATAAAAAATCCTAGCTAACATCTTGCGATCAAGGTTGTTACATGGTTGTGGGTGATCGATTGCAAGTGTGGGTCATAAAGGCGCATGTGCAAAAGAGGATCAAGCGATTTGTGAGAATGAGGTACACATGGATGCTGATTAAATGGCTGAGGGTGCTATTGCATACTAGGAGCACCGATATAAAAGAGAATAGAGAAAACTGTGTGGGGGTCTTTTTCTTTTTCTGGATATTTTTTTGTTTTATTTTTGTGCGATTTTTATTTTGAGCTATTTTGGTATTGTGTTGGTACTGTAACAGAACTTATCTTGTGATATAGCTTTTGCTAAAGTTGAATTTTGTTGTTTTTTTTTTCTTTGATTTCTGCTATTGTAATGAAGCTCAATTAAGATGGGTATGAGCTAATTTTCTAAGGGTTGGATTTATGGGATACCTGAACCTCAATATTTTGTGTATGGTTGATTATCGGGATTTTTAGTGTTTAAACTTCAGTAGTTCAATGATGTTTATTATGGTGGAAGTTTTATGCTTTTCGGCCGGATGTATGAGGCTTGCATAGGGATGAGCTATTTGGAAATAACTCATTCTTGACCTTACATTGAGCACATGGACTTGGATAAGGAATCATTCAAGGGATTTTATTTTAGATATGAATAAGTCTTCCATGTAACAATAGACATGAGCTTCAAGACTCCAACTTTCATTTACTTAGGGATATGTACATGAGTGAATCATGGAGAAAACAATTTTAAGGGATTAAAGTCTAGTTAACTGAAGAACAATTGTAGAGCAATTTGATAATCAATCTATACGTTAAATGTTGTGGCAAAGGGAAACCAAAAACTCAACCCATTTCTTTAATTATTTTCACCAATTTTTATTTCACATTTTTCTTCTTGATTTCTTAGTCAATTTTTGTTTCAAATCTTTACACCAATTTTTTATACCAGAAAAAAAAACACAAGTTCAAGTTAATTTACTCATTCCATTTATTAATTAAAAGTTGATTCAAACAAAAATCTTTCAAAAACAGTATAGTCTTGTTAGTTAATTAGTTTTTTGACATTTTGATTTTATTTTTTTTTTATTCTTTTTCTTAATTTAAATTCTGTTTTAGCAATTGCTTTTTTCATATTTGATTCAAAACGCCAAAATCCTTATGCGAACAATTTTGGGCTCTCAAATACACCTATATTATTTGTTGTCACGTATACTTGAGCCAAACGTACATAACTGTTAGCAAGGCAACAATAACAAAGCATGCATATAGGGGACGTTTTGTAGAGAAGATATTTTTTTTACAAGGAAAATATAATTACTCAGGAAATAGTGAAAAAATGAGTTTGATAGGAAAGTGAGAAAAAAGTTGTTTGATAGAGTGAAAAATTACCGGGAAAATTGGTTTAAGTTTTCAAAGCCTATGTTTGGTTGAAGGTAAAATATTAGTGGAAAAATATGATTCAATTACCACAACTCCCCTTGGTTATTCGGTTTTCTTGGCTGTCATTGGGTCCCTCATTAATTTATAGCAAAGAAAATAAAGGTCTTGTAACGTGTTGTGGGTGGCTACATGCATTACAACAGTGTTTTTTAGACGAAAGAAAGAGGAAAGAGACTCCACTGTAGGGTCATTTTCGTCATCGCAAATAGCTCTCCTTTTTCCTTTCCCAGCTAAACCTCAAATACCACTATCCATGTGGTTTTTTTAAAAAAATGTTTTTCATATATTTTTGTAAACAAATTGCAATGGCTCGGCAAACGATTTTGCTGATAAAATTTGTTGGACTCTTGTACCAAACATGGTCAAATAGAAATACCAAAGGAACTTGCTTGGGTATCTATGTTAAAACCCCCTACCAAACGCCCTATAAGGCTGTGCCCATACTCTCCCCTTCTACATTGCTTTGCTTTTTCTCTTCCGTTGTCTCTTTATTTTCATTTCTTTAACCCAAAGTTACGGATAACATGAAGATAAGCTCTGTCATATGAACCTTTAATATGCAGAACCCACAAAGGTTTGAGTGCTCACAAATGTTTGAGTTTTAGTCATTTCAGTTAAAGACTACACGTTCCTTTATATGTTTGTATGTTGAAATCCACAAAGGTCTAGGCTTATATTTATGATATTATTTTCTTATTATAAATATGACTTGAGATAATGATATTTTCCGCTAAAGCTGTTGTTTTGGTTATAATTCGAAAATCATACTATTACTAAGATTTATTTCACATATATTTGTTTTGTACTAATCTTTTTAGAAAGTAAGCATACCAGTATGTACAGTTTTGGAGTAGGATGAAGCACCAAGATTAAAAATACTGAGGACCGTACGGAGTTCATGAAAATTGTGTATACAATAATACAAACTTAGTTAAAGTTCCTACTTGATGTAAAATAGTTTAAAGACGAGAAATTAATGTATTTGATCAGTCATATGTAGAGCCGGCAAAACAGGCTCGGCTCGGCGAGCCAACCTGCCCCACCAGCTAAACGGGGCAGGGCGAGCTTTTTTGGCGAGTTGATGGCGGACATAGGCGGGCCGAGACGGGTCAGTGTAAAATAGGCTCTGGCTGGCGAGCCAACCCGTCAGTTGACTCATTTTTTTGCGGGTTAATAACGGAGCGGGTCGCTCACTTTTCCACCTCTAGTCATATGTATAATTAAATTTTAATTAAATTTTATTATATGCTTTACTTTATATTTGCTGTGTGAAAATCTTATACTCTTTAATTTAAAATAAAATTTAAAAATTTGTGATTTTTTATATTAACCAATTATATGAGATGTTACAGATGCCGACATTTTTTTTTATTTTGTTCGGACTATATTAAAATGCCCTCGTGGGTCTCGAGTGGTTACGATCAACGTCGTAATTGGTATTGAAAATAAGATATGCCTTTAACGTGGTTGCTGAGTCATTGGTGATTGAAGATTGAATATTGAATACTGAATACTGAGTATTGTATATTCCGGTCGTTGTGGTCCAAGTCGTAATAAATATCTTTAACCATCCACCAGAAAAATATATATCTTTAACCATTACAAACAAAAACAATAAAATTTGGTTCTACTCCAATTCAACAACTGTCATAATTAAATAAGTGAAAAAATATTTCTGCAGTTATTGCAGATAAGTTATTTGTATTTTTTTTAAAACGATATTTTTTGGTATTAAAATCTTAAAAAATTATAAATTTAAAGACTATTATAATCCTAAAATAAATTAAAATTACAAAAATATCATGATTTCTGTCCCAAAACGACATCGTATTAGACTTACTGCAGATAACTTATCTGCAATAACCGCAGAAAAAACGAATCTTTAAATAAAAAAAGGTATATGCGCATATGACCTCGCTTCTTGTTTCTCTAACATTTGTCTGTTTGATTGTGTTTTTATTTTTTTATTAAAATAATTTTGTGAAATAGTTAATAAAATAAATATTTTCTATGTTTCGTTAATTTTAAAAATTAAAAGTCGAAACACAAAACAAAAACATCTCACATATATTATCTAAATTTGATTTAAAAATATAAAACATTTACAATTTTTAAAACTTTTTAACAAAATAAACCTTATCCAACAGTTTTTTTTTATCTTTTAGTTCTGAAAATAATAAAACTGTTTTTCAAAACATATTTCAAATAATATACTGGAGATGTTTTATCTGAGACAATCTCCTTGGCCCACTATTTTTAAAAAAAAATGTTGGCGTGATTTTTGAAGTGTTGGAGGAAAGAAGAACCATCTCCGGCAATAAAATATTATTATTCCCAATTTTTAAACAAAAAATTAATATAAAATTATGGATAGATATTATATCTGTTTCTTTTATGTTTATTCTGTCTATTTCTCTTTATTATTATATCACAATTTCAAAATAATAGAAAAATGATAAATATCAGTTGAGATTGTAATATAATAATGTTGGAGAAAAGTAGATAGAGTAGACATGAAAAAAAGATAAATAAAATATCTTATCTCATAAAATTATTAAAGTGACATATACAAGATGATTATTTAATATAATATTAGAGCTAACAAATAACTGATCATAAGTTCAATCTTCACGGTTTTTCAATATTGCACATATAAGTAGGTACGTCTATTATTCACCATTTAATCCAATGAAAGAAATATGTTAAATTAGCCATATTCAGTAAACAATTTGAGCTTGACACTATTATTAATTTGGTAAGTGTCAAATTACAATAAGTGAGTGGAATACTACTTTATTGATGCTTAAATTCCCATCATCATCTATGGTTAAATTTAACTACAGAAAATATTCGTTTTTTGTTTTTTAGCTTGCTCACTAAAACAGTAAAAGAATCAAATCTTATTAAATTTAGCTACTCTGTTAATAAATTAAGGGTTCGTTTTTTTTGGGACTTAACATAAATAAATTATCTGCATTGAATCCAAAATGATATTATTTTGAGATGAAAACTAGATATTTTATAATTTTAACTTATTTCAGAACTATAATAGTCTTTATAATTAAATTTTTTAATATCTTAAAATCAAAATGATATTACTTTAAAAATAAATTTAAATAACTTATTTGCATTAACTTGTAAAAATATTTTTATCATAAACTAATATGATCGCAATTATTGAGGCACATTTGTGCACGCTTTTGCGTGCCTATGGAATTGAAACATGTGTGGCCCCTACTCTACATACTGCATTAATAGTGCATTACATAAACAGTCTACATTTGGTGTTATATATATAAATGTGAAATGTTTTTCTCGTATTTATCTCATGCAACACATAAAAAATGAATAGAACTCACTAATAAAAAAAAAAGAGAAAAAAAAGTTGTATCTATATTTTTGTGTGTTGCATAAGACAAATTATCTTATCCAACATGATAAAAACATTTTCTATATAAATATACATTACAAGTGGTTTAGAACATCATACTTCAAGAGGGGCAACAAGCAGTATTCCTGACCACAACTTATAACATGCGTTATCTAATCCACGTCACGCTTCTACTCTCTTTTATGCTTGCAACTGCAAGCTCTTCCTCCCTGTATCATGGGAATGGGAACTACCTTTTCACCAATCGTAAAATGTCCAACAGTTTTCCCAATCAGGAAGCCATCAATGAATCCTATGCAGTAGTCTTCGATGCTGGAAGTACAGGAAGCCGTGTACATGTCTTCCGTTTCAACCAGCGCTTAGATCTCCTCCGTATTGGGGAAGATCTTGAACTTTTTGTTGCGGTGATAACTGACACAAGACATGTTTAATTTTATGGCTTTGGTCTTCAACTGCTTCATAAAACATTCTCTTTAATTAGTCTTGGTCTTGTTGTTTTGTATTGTAGACTGAACCAGGTTTGAGTGCATACGAAAAGAATCCACAAGAGGCAGCACAATCTCTTGTTCCCCTTTTAGAGGAAGCAGAAAGTGTTGTTCCTGAAGAGTTGCAGCCCAGGACGCCCCTTCAACTTGGAGTGTGTATTTCTATCAGTAGTAGTTTTGGAATTTGAAAATATATATATATATATATATATATATATATATATATATATATAATAATAATAATTATCTCATGCAACATAAACAAAGCAGTGAGGTTCATATTATTTATTCTTTTTTGTTTTTTTTATAAATGGTGGATCCTACTATCTTGTCTCTGTTGCATGAGCATGAGATTAATAGATCCTTATATGAGGAAGGATCCTTTGACATTAGTGTCAAATTTGAAATTTGACACCTCATCTGAGAGTCATTAGATCAAGAAAAATCAACGCTGTCACATGTTTACAAATCAAAGTCGTTGATCTCTTTTGATTTAATCACTCTCGATGAAATTTGACACAGGATCCTACCTAATATGATATGGGTGTCGTGGACTTTTATGTAGAAACATTCAACTCTATATATACCTACAAAATTCATTCTTATGCTGGCCTTTGAAGATTTTGTTTCTTAATTTTTTTGCTTTTTTGGTAATGGAAAATTTGCATCTTTATATAAATTGCAATGGTAATGCAGGCAACTGCAGGTTTGAGGTTATTGGAAGGGGATGCTGCTGAAAAGATCTTGGAAGCGGTAAATAGATATTGTTAAAGCATATGATGTTAGTTAAGTTCACTGCTTTAGAAGCTATATACCCATGATTTTAACATTTCATAGCTTTCACTTTCATATATTGAAGGTTAGGGATATGTTCGAGAAGAACAGCACATTTAAAGTTGAATCCGATGCAGTTTCAGTGTTGGGTGGAAGCCAAGAAGGAGCATATATGTGGGTACGAATGTCATTCGAGTTTATCCTATGCTGCCCCTGTGGATTTATCTTCTAAAATAATTAAATTTGTTTGGAAAAAAAAGGCTGCACTAAACGAACGAGTATCACATATATTTTATTATAAACATTTAAAAAAACATTAAAAAAAAACCTAGCATCATAATAAAAATAGGCCTATTTAGTATTTAAGTTTTTTCGGATAAAATATAGTGTTTAAATTTTAAAAATACTACATTTCTTAATTTGTTCAACAAATATCACATATATTATATAATTTATGTTTTAAAATAAATATTGTTGCATTTTTGTTTAAATAATATGTATTAGGATTAGGAGTCTAAATGGTTAGGCCGGTTTACAGGGGCCTACGGTCTATCCTATATTAGGCCAGACTTGGCCTGTTACAAATAGTAAAATAGAACATGTCTAGACTTTTAAAAAATCATATTCAGAAAATAGGTCATAGGCTATTTTGTACATGTTGAGCCTATAAGCCTACAGACCGACCTATATGATATTATTAATTTTAAATAAAATAATCATTTTAATAATTTTGAATAATAAAGTAATATTATTTTAGTTATTCTTTTAACAGAAAAATATTTATGCGGTTACTGTAGATAAGTTTCTGCATTTAGGGGAAAAAGTTTCCGATGTTACTTTAGATAACTTTATCTAATGTTCATCGAAACGACGTCGTTTTTGGGTTGAAAAATTATAAAATTAGAGTGATAAAGACTATTATAACCCTAAAATAAATTAAAATTACAAAAATTCCATGATTTCCGTCCCAAAACGACGTCGTTTTGATGAACATTAGATAAAGTTATCTAAAGTAACATCAGAAAAAACAAACCCTTCTTTTAATTGTTGAATGTTTAATGGACTTAAACAAGCTAATAGGCTTAGGCCAAGGCTTTTATTTTTTAAATATAAGTCAGACCAGACTTATAATTTGGGGTATACACAGGCTAATAGGTCAGGTTATACCCAATATTTTTTACATAGGCCTAACATATTTAAGTCAAAGTCAGCCTAGCTCAGCTTATTTACACCCTTACTCACGTCAGACTTATAATTTTTGGCCTACACAAGCTACTAATTAGGATGGACTCATGATTCCGTATACTGGCCACTTGTTTTAGCAATTATTTCTGCCCCATTACTTTTTGCTTCTCATAATTCTCTTCCTAATAATTCCAACCAGTTCATATTGTATAATTAATTACATTCTTATCACTTAAATCCCTGCCAATTAGATAAGTATATCATTTAATATCCCATGTGCTTTTTAACTATTATTCCGGTCCATTGTCATTTATAATTTAATATCCCTGCCAATTACCTTCTTCCTAATAACTTATATCCCTTTAATCTTATACATATAAATTTTAAAAAAATTTAAATTTTATTTCTATATTATTATCATTTAAAATTACAATGCTATTTACAATGCTATTACAAGAGTGGTGTAGCAGTCCATGAGATTGGTCTTATATCTCGTATACGGACATGGTTAAATAAAAATTAGGAGGTACATCTACAACATATTTTCAGGGAAGGTAATATGTGCGCTGATTGGATGACCAATTATTTGCTGAATACACTTGATATTAGTGATCATGTCTTCTTTGAAACTCCTCCACGGGGGATTAGTTTACTTTATGTAGCAGATCTTGCGTTTGCTAGGAGGGAACATATTGTTTCCCTTCGGTTAGTTTTTTTTCTCCTTTTGTTCTTTGTCTGGGCTGTGCCTTTTTGTTTACTCAAAAAAATAAAATTATCATATAAATTATTTATTTATTAAAAAATTCTCTTAAAAGTTAAAATTTTATTTATCATTTTAAAAATATATTTTTGAATTAAATTAAAATAATTTTTTTTACAAAAACATATTACTTTATGAATAATTATTTTCAAAATTTAAACTTGTCTTTAATTTTTAAATTTATTTTAATTGATAATAATACTACTTAGACTAGTTGGGATTCTATGAATATAATTTTTATTATTTTAACTAAATTTTATCCTTTATCAATTAAAATTAAAATAAAATTCAGTGCTAAGATTAAATGAAAAATATTTTAAAATTATCTCAAAAAATAGAGTTTTTAAGAATTACTTAAAATTTAAAATATTATTTAAGAGAAATTAAAATTACATTATTTGAAAAATGTATTTAAGTCAAATAAATTAAAACAAATTTTATAACTTTGTTTTACGTTATTTTTATCTTGAAATCACATTTATGTTTAATACTTCTTTGTTTCCCTAATATTTATCCTATATTATTATAAGATATATAAATGATGGCGCGATCTGCAGTGGGTCTATATGGATTGAAATTTTATTTGGTTTAGTCCTCTGTCATTATTTGAGTTAGCCTCGTTGACTTATATTTTATGATAATGTAAAAAATTTGTATGCATAGTCAATAAATAAATAAGTCATGCTTGCAGAGTTGCAGTGAATCAAAAGTAAATTTTAGAAGTTTTATAAATTCTTTGTTATATTTTTGACGTCTTCTTTTAAACCAAGCATAGCTAGATTGTTATAAACCGAAATTTTATAATCACTAAGCCAACGATGACATTTTTGTTGGACAAGTCATTCATGAGTTAAATAAAATATAGTACCAACAAAGACCACCAAGTATGTTCAACATATAGAGCATTTCATCATATATATTTTTCCTGAAGCTATTTTTTATTGGACACAAATAAATTCAGTCATCTTGTACCAAAAAATAAAATAAATTCAGTCATCTAGTGTTGTTGGCAACGAAACTTAATTTGAATTTTATTATTGGCATTCTTCTGTTGATCAAAGTTCGTAATACCCAAACTCCAAAGAATGGTAAAAAAAAAGTGATAAAAAGCTACATTAACGTGAATAAATATAGTATAAGTTAGTCTTACCTTGCTTATTATTTTCATAGGTGGCTATTAACTATCTATTGGGAAAATTGGGAAAGCCATATTCAAAGACAGCAGCAGTAGTTGATCTTGGTGGTGGATCTGTTCAAATGGCTTATGCACTCTCAGAGAAAGATGCTGAAAAGGCTCCAAATGCTCCAGATGGAACGGATCCATACATAACGCAGACGTTCGTCAGCGGAAAGAAATATTATCTCTATGTTCACAGGTTCATTTCCTTCTCACTTTATTATGTATGTTTTTGTGATATATAATCGTCTATATAGTAGTTTTCTCTGAGCACTGTAATTGTAATTAGAGCCACAATAAGTCATATATGAATTATATATAAAATAGAAATCTCAAAATTGTTTTTGATGGACAATATCAACAGAAGTAATATCAAACAAAATTTTACATTGAGTATAATACCATGTGTCATGTCTAATACAGAAAAATTTATTATGATTCAAATCCATCACTTATTCCCCGGTCCCTTTTTTATAAATGAAAAAATTTATTCCATTTTTATCCCTCTCTTTTTTTTTTCTCTCTCAATCCCTTTCCTTTTTCTATTTTGAGAAGAACCACTGACCCACCCAAAAAAACATATCGTCTAATACATTGTAATATATTGCTTTCAGTTACTTGGGCTTTGGTCAACTAGCAGCTCGTGCCGGGGTTTTGAACATCACTGCTGATTCCAACAGTCCTTGTATTTTAGCTGGCTTTAATGGTAAATGTTGCTTCTCTTTTTCTGCACACACGTGATTTTGTTTTGATGCTAAGTTCTCTTACCTCCCACCCTCAAATAATACACATATATAGAGGTCATCTTACTATTACATCGTAGAAAGAATAAGATGACCCCTATATATATATATATATATATATATTAAAAACTGATTCTAATATCCATGTGTTTGGAATTCTTTATATATGTTTTCATCTTAATTAGCATATGATCCAGTTTTTTATTCTTCTAATTAGGGAATTACACATATAACGGAGTGGACTACAATGCTTCAGCTCTTCCTTCCGGCTCAAGCTTTAGTAAATGCAAACAATTAGTTCTTAAGTCTCTCAATGTTAATGAGACATGTACGCATAAGAATTGCACCTTCGGTGGGATATGGAACGGTGGAGGGGGAAAAGGACAAACTAACTTTTGGGTTGCCTCATTTTTCTATGATATGGCTAAGCAGGTATCCTTTATTTTATTCAATTTATTTAATGTTGTAAGAACTAAGAAGTACCAAAAGTCTAAAACTCATTAATTTTTTTTTTCTTCTAACGCTACTACACTGCCATTCTAATCACATTGTTTGTTCATAGGCTGGTTTTATTGACTCAAACGCACCCAACGCCAAAGTTCGTCCTGTGGATTTCAAGACTGCAGCAGAGCTAGCTTGTAAGACGACACTAAAAGACGTTAAATCCACTTTTCCTCTTCTTGAGGATAGGAACTTGCCTTATATATGTCTAGATCTTACATACCAACATACATTGCTTGTTGATGGATTTGGTAGGTTTTCTTATTAACATTGGAATAGAGCTATATTTATATAGAGTTGATAAACATACTTTTTTCCCAACGTAATTATATCTTGTTAATGAACTAATTGCAATTCCATTTGTTGGCAGGCTTAGATCCCTGGAAGGAGATTACATTGGTGACGCAAATTGAGTATCAAAATTCTCTTGTGGGAGCAGCATGGCCCTTAGGCACCGCCATAGAAGCCGTATCATCGTTACCTAAATTTGACAAATTAGTGTACTTCATTTAGGCTAACATGAAGAGCCGTTTTTTGTATGGACTCTTGAATAAGAATCGTTTCTTTCATGATTCCTGAATTTCCTTCCATTTACTGCCTTTTTCTCCCCTCTTTTTGGAATTCATAGTTGGAATTGTGATTCGTATGGATTTGGATCTTCTCACGTGGAAAAATGGTCATGTAATCATGTTATATGATCATAATCACTCGTTTAACAATCATACACTTTTCTCTTTTTTATTCCATTATCAATGAGTGGTTGTGATCAAATAACATAATCACATGACCGTTTTTCCACGTGAGAGGATTCAAATCTGATTCATACACATACTTGGAAGTTGTGAGTGGAATGTTGGGGGTTTGAGCCAAAATTATTGGGAATTTAAATGACCCAGTAGATTAAAAATAGACTAAGTGAGTATAGCTGTAATCACAAAATCATTGCTTTAAGATTTTTCGCATAAATATGCAATGTCAAATCTAATTATTGCATAAAAGGAAAGGGTTTTGGTTCGATCCTAACATGTCATCTTTGGGAGGGATTTAAATATCTTTATCTCTGACTTGTCTCGCACTCCGGATTAGTCCTATATCCGATTCAAATAATCAAAACTTGTTAGATATTAGAAAGAGTCAACCCGCCTCAAAGAGGTAATTAAGATTGGATTAGCTTAAAAAAAAATCTAATAATTGTATTTTTCCTTTAGCCCTTCGGTAGAGGTTAAGTAAGAATTATATATAGAGAGAGAGAAGGGAGCAAAGAGGAGACAGAAACAGATAAAAGGAAATCAGGGTATCTATACACTGTTAACTTCTATTGCTATTCTTTTTTTAACGTGCTATTGCTATTCTTTAGTTACAATACAAAACCCCATTTTGCGGCTCTGCTCTACAAAATACTTTACCGTATCTTTCAAGACAAAAGAAAATGAAAAAACTAAAAGAAGACAGAGCAGAAGAAAAAAAGTACATAAGGAGAAAAGAAGAAAAATCAAACAGCCAGACGAATAATCGGAGCAGAAAGGGAGAAAACAGAGCAAAAAAACAAAGAGAAAAGCACATAAAAAAGTAAGAAGGAACAAAGAAAGAGGGAGTAGAGAAGAGGAGAGGCAAGTGATTGAAGCTCTCCCATCCGCATTAGGCATGAAGATTATCCTCAGGCATTTTGAAGAATGTAGATCCATGTGAGGATAATACACATGCTTAACAAAGATGAAGAGAAGCCACCAAAGGATCTCGTTACAATGTTTTGGTTGGGAAGTTAAAAACAACCATAGGAACAAAATGAGGAGAAAAGTTGGAAGAAAAGAAGCAAGGATCAAAAGCCTATTTATGTACAGAAGAGCTAGTCTCTCATTGATTCGTTTCATAGTACAATCAAAATGAATTAAATTTTCAAGTATTTTTTCACGTTTGATACGTTAATATAAAACTGCAATTCTAGGCAATTAGCGCTAAAAGCGGCTATACCAGCTACTGAAAAGAAGTGATAAAATCAAAGTTTGAAGGTTACATCATAGATTACTGAAAAAAATTGACCAAATAGTCAATACCCCGAGCAAAAAGAGTCCTAGCAATAATCAACCTGACTTTGTAACTTTAAAAAGTTTGGTTGGTAGAACAGTTCCAACCATATTATGAATCGAGTTAAACCTGTCAAAATAATAAGAGACTTTTTTTTTGTAATCTAAATAATAAGAGACTTTAATTAATAAAATTGATTTATTGCATCGATTTATTGCCGTAACAAAATAATATCGTATACATCGATATTTGAAGAAATTTCATTTTTTCTATTTTACAAACTGTCCAAAAAATATATTCATACACATCGAGTTGATTTTAATTTTGTTATATTTCTTTTCTTTAGAAATCCTCCGGTCAAATAGAGGGAAAATCTAGTACAAATAAAAAGTATAGATTCTTATGTATCAATTAATTATGCCCATGTCTGTTGTGTGTTTTGCCCGAAAATAAAAATAAAAATTATGCTTCTTTATGTTCAAGAATTTCAATGTTCCGGTGAAAAATAAAGAGATACAGAGGAATATATTAAAAGAAGTTACTTGTTAAAGAGATATAATATAAAATTATTAAAAATCCTTTACTTAAAAATTTAAACCGTTGGGTTAGCCGGTTCATTATATGACATTAAAGCTAAAGTAACCACAGGGTCATGACTCACGAGCTAAAGTAACCACGGGGTCACGACTCACGAATTCAATCTTCACCGAATCATCGTCCTCAATTTCTGCTAGAATTAAATCAGGATAATTTAGAATAAAAAAAATGTGCCTCTAAAAGTCAGAAATATAATATAAAATCATGGATAGGGTTATGTTGACAAACTTTTTTTTTACAAACTTACAAACTACACTATGTCTGGTCGGTAATACTCTATAGTTTGGAAGAGTTTGTAAATAAAATATTTGTAAATATAACTTTCCCCTAAAATCATTAGAGAGCCTTTGTGGAAGTCAAACGTCGAGCTAGGAGCTCGGCTCTACAATAAAAGGTCGGTTGAATAACCAGGTCGCCCAGCGCATCAAAAAATCGAAAAACATAGAGGAGAGATAAAGAGAAGAACACAATCAGATTTTAACGTGAAAAAGCCTTCTTCAGTGAGAAGAAGTAAAAATCCAAAGGATACTAATCCAGAATCAAACTTCCACTATGAAAATAAAGGGTTACAAAGGATCAAGTATCACTAATAATGGTGGTACACTCAAACCTAGGGTTGGCAAAAATGAGCCAACTCGTCGGTTGGATCGTAACCCACTAAAAATAAGTCAGGTAGGGTTGGCAAAAATGAGCTATCAACCCGACCCGACCTATCTCGGAAAAAAACGAGTTAACCCGCGGGTCAAACGAGCCAGCTCACGGGTTGAGTTTTTATTTTTTTATATAAAAATATACAAAATATAATATACAAAAATGGACAAAACTCACATGCTGCCATCGTCTTTCTTCCTTCTCTAAACCTAAGTCCCTAATCTTCTCACATCCCTGTCATTTCTATATTGTTAGGTTGTGCTGGCTCTGTTTGATTCAAATATCATACAGACTTGGTAACTAGTGGTTCTGATTGTTTCTTGATGTTGATGCAAATTTATTGTGAAGAAAATTCGAAACTAGAATATTTTGCTTTTATTTCTCATTTTGTAACCCTTTGTTTAAGCTGATGGAAGCCACATAGCTGGTGCATTAATACTACATGTTTATTTAAATAGGCTGAAAATGAGCAAACCCGCGAGCAATTTCCGAGCCAACCCGCGAGCCAACTCGCGATATACTTTTTCAAGCCAACCTAAGAGCCATATTTTTGAGCCAATCTTAACCCTAACCCGACTCGGGTGGGGTTAGGTTGGATTTTCTGACTCATTTTTTTTTTAGCCAACCCTAACCCGGCTCATTTTTTTCGGGTTGCATGCGGGTCGAGCCGGGTTGGTCCGTTTTGCTAACCCTACTCAAACCTCACATACAATGGTGATTTTCTCTCAAACTTGCCTAAAGAGGTATAACACTCAAGCTTCTCCCTAAAGGTGCTCTCAAAATCAAAGCTTTGAACTTTTCACTCAAAACCTTCAAATCTCACAAGTATCTTTTTCTTTTCTTTCTCTAACATACCTCTATCCCACAACTAATGTATTTATAGGGGAAGGAAGAGGTTTAGGGTTTTAGGCTTTCTTAGACCCTCATGGGCTTTGGGCTTAGCATTAAGGAGGAAGCCCAACAAATCTCTCCCTTCCGACTTCAATGTGTCCGCTTCAGCAATAATTTGGCATCTTCACAACAATCTTCAAATTTTTTTACTAACACTTGAGGATATGCTGAGAGCTTGCACACTGGAGCAAGGTACTGCTTGTGACATATACTTGTCATTGGTGAATTTCTCGTATAATAACAGTTTTCACTCCAGTCTAGGCATGGCACCGTATGAGGTATTGTATGGATGGAGATGTCGTACTCCTACTTGTTGTACTGAGGTAGGTGATAAAGAAAGATTTAGTCTGGATCTTGTGCAGGACACTACAGTGCAGATTGAAATGTTCAGAGAGAAACTTAGACAGGCACAGAATCCGCAGAAAAGTTATTGTGATAATAAACACAGACTGCTGGAATTCAAAGAAGGAGACCATGTATTTGTGCGGTTATCTCCGATCACGGGTATTGGCCGTACATTGGGAGTAAGGAAGCTGAGTCCTCGATTTATTAGACAGTATCAGATTATGAAAAAAGTGAGATTAGTTGCCTATCAGCTTGCCTTACCTCCACAATTGTCGAATCTACACGATGTTTTCCATGTATCACAGTTGCGGCGTTATGTTCCAGATGAATCACATGTGGTGATATCGGATGGTATTGAAATTCGGGAGAACCTGAAGACTCCTATAGGTCTTATTGAGGTGCTTGACCGCAATGAAAAGAGGCTGAGAAGCAAGATTATTCCAATGTCAAAGATTTAGTGGAAAATACGTACACCTGAGGAGCCTGCTAGGGAGCGGGAGGACAAGATTCTCCAGCTGTATCTTGAGTTAGCGGACATGTATGAATTAATTTTGCGGACAAAATTTCAAAAAGGAGGGATGAATATAACACATCGTAATTCTAAAATACTTAATTACAGTTAAAATGTGAATTAAAGGGTAGGATTAGTGAAAATCTTGAATTGGGACAGATAAGTTCGAGAGCTTACACTTCGATAGGTCGAGTGTGCACTTTGATAAGTTTGAGCTCTCCATCCTCCACCATATCCCAGATCCAGCGATACGTCACATCAATATGCTTAGTGCGGGAGTGATAGGTCGAGTTCTTCGCAAGATGAATTATGCTTTGATTGTCACACTTCAACTCGTACTTGTCTTGTTCATGGCCGAGTTCAGAGAGAAACTTCTTCGTCCACAACATTTCTTTGCTTGCCTTTGTCGTGGCTATATATTCGGCCTCGGTAGTTGAAAGTGCTACACACTTCTGTAGCCTTGATTGCATGGAGATAACTACTTCTGCAAATTTCATCATATATCTCGTTGTCGACTTCCTTGAGTCGGAACCTCCCCCTAAATCAGCATCCGAGTAATGTTGCAACTTGGCTTTTCCTTCTCCAAATCGGAGGCACAACTTTGTTGTTCTTCTGAGATACTTGAAAATCCACTTCACTTCTTCTCGGTGTTCTTCGCCGGTATTTGACAGATATCGGCCTACCATTTCAACAACATATGTCAAGTCAGATCTCGTACAAACCACTGCATACACCAAGCTTCTGACAGCAGATTGGTACGGGATCTTCAACATCTCGTCTTTATCTTCATCAGATCTTGGACATTGCTTCTGGTTTAGTTTTATATGTCCGGCTAAGGGGGTGCTCACTGTTTTGGCTTTGTCCATGCTGAATCTCTTTAGAATCTTCTCAATGTATTTTTCTTGACTCAGCCATGGTAGCTTCTTTTGTCTATCTCGGATAATCTTAATTCTGAGTATCTGCTTTGTAAGGCCGAGGTCCTTCAGTGCAAAGGACGAGCTAAACGCCTTCTTTAGGACGGCTATTCTCGATTTGTCTTTTCCTACAATAAGCATGTCATCAACATATAACAACAAAATCGAAAATCTCCGGCCTCATACCTCTTCACAAATACGCAGTGGTCAGCCTATGTCTTCATAAACTTGTGACCAATCATGAAAATTTCAAACTTCTTGTACCACTGCCAAGGTGCTTGCTTCAAGCCGTATAGTTTCTTCTTCAATCAGCATACTAAGTCTTCTTGTTATAAAATTATTATGTTTTATACTATCCTAATTTAACTTTATTCTATTCTTGATTGTATGAATCATCCCAATAATACTTGACTTATTTGGGGCATACCTGAATAGATAATGGGGACAATATATAACAAGTCCAAAATATTAGCTTCAAATTCTATTATAATAACTGTTAGTTTATTTCTTTACAAAATAGTTATGCAATAAAAATTTAAAATATTATTTAAATTGATTTGTTTTATTTAAGTGACATTGTAAATAATTATAAAATTGACACACAGATTATATTTTTGATTAGTTTGAAAATTTGGAAGAAGTGATGGTATCATTGTAAAAATTTAGAAATTATTGAACAAAGATTTTTTATGTCTGTGCGTGTTTGAGAGAGAGGTAACTCTCTTTATGAATTGTTAACAACATTATATATTAGGGCAAAAATTTTAGCAATTTACAATTAATTTATAAATTTATAACAACCAGTCGCGCTTAAAATAGGCGAGAAAAACTTTAATGCATTGAGAGAACTGAACTCGGTGCTTCTTTTTACTAAATAAGGGAATCTTTTAGGACTTAAAGGGAAATATAAAAAAAAATAAGGATGAAAAGAGGGGGGAAATTCCCTATTTAGTAAAAGGGAGCACTGGTGCATTGAAGTTTTTCTCAAAATAGTGTGACTAGTAGCGCCCAAATAATTGCGCATTAGGGTGCTTGGGCACGCTTAATTTGGGCACGACTCATCCGATAATGACATGTGACAGTAAAAGTCAATAACTTTACTATAAAACTTCAGATGGCCATAATTTTTGACATGGGTGTCAGAATCAGATATTTTTTTTATTTCATACAATTATTTGAGATCTATGCAATGACATCTTATTTAAGGGGATTTGGTAAAAAAAATTCCAAATTTTTTTGGATTTGCAACAATGGTGCAACTACAAGAGCATTTTATCTTCCAAATTTTTCCAAGAAAAGGACAACATACATTTTTTATTAGAAATGTTTGTAATCATCAAGGTGGTTTTCCTTTCCATTCACACACATATAGGGTCATGATCATTTTGCACTAGTGTAAGTTACACTCTAAATCTTAACCATTGATTCCACTTATATCTAAGTGCTCTAATTTTTTTAGTAACGTGAGTCATTGGATACAAGTGGATCAATGATCAAGATTGAGTGTAAGACTTTTAACTCTTACACTGGTGTAAGAATATCCTGCACATATATATATATATATATATATATATATATATATATATATATATATATATATATATATATATATGGTCAGGATAATTTTACACTAGTGTAAGTTACACTCTTAATCTTTTCTGTTAATCCCACTTATATCTAAGGGCTCAAATTTTTTAGTAATGTAAGCCATTAGATACAAGTGGATCAGTGATCATGATTGAGTGTAAGACTTCTAACTCTTACACTAGTGTAAGAATATTCTGCCCTATATATATATACATATATATATATATATATATATATATATATATTTGGCACATGTGTGATGACTAGAAGGTTTATATGGATAAAACTTGTTCTATACATCTTGTGTGTGGGAGGTAAACACAGATGAGACTGCCATTGCACGTTTAACTATACAAGATTTGTTTATTTAAAAGCTTTAAATATCTTTTTTTTATCTTAATTTAAATATCAATGTGTAAAACCCTACAAGTTTTTTTTTCACTTTACAAATATATATATATATATATATATATATATATATATATATATATATAAATTATTATGCTTCCCTTGAACCAAATGTAAAATAAAGTTTGTTAGAAATAGCAACCCCAGCCATTTTCACTTTCTCCATTTAAATTCAGCAATTTTGAAAATATAGACAACGATTAATAAGCATATACTTGGGGTGTGCATTAAAATCAGTCTATTCCCTAACACTGTTTCTGAAAAGAAACAATTCTTTTCTATTTTTGTGCCTTGGAACAGTTTCTGAGAAAAAAATGTGTTTGATAACATGTTCTTTTTTTATTCCGAGAATAAGAATTATTTTTGATAACACAACAAATAATATAATAAAAAATAATTTCTATTAAATATAAAAAAAATCCGAATCATCACTTTCTTTTTCATATGATGTGGTTGTGGTAGTGGTGGCGGTACGGTAGTGGTGGTGGCAGTGATATGGTGAAGATAGTGGTGGTGATTGTGACGACAGTGGCTGCGGCGGCAGTAGTGGTGGTGACTGCGACCATGGTGGTGGGGATGGTGGTTGGTGGCGGCAACAATGGTAGCAGAGGCATGGTGGTGGTGGTGGTGGTGGCAGTGGTTGCGGCGGTGGCGGAGATAGTAGGTGACAATGGTGGTGGTGATGGTGGCGGCAGTGGTGGTGGCGATGACATGGTGAAGGTAGTAGCGAGGGTGGTGCGATGGTGGCGATGGTAGTGGTGGTGACGGTAATGGCCGTGAGGATGGTTGTGGTGGTTGGTGGCGGCGGCGATGGTGGTGACGGTAGTGGCTGCGGCAATGGTTGTGGTGGTTGGTGACAGTGATGGTGATGGTAGCGGTGGCGTCGTGGTGGTGCTACTGGTGGCGTGGTGATGACGATGGTGACGATGACAGTGGTTGCGATAATGGTGGTGGTGGTTAATGGCGGTAGAGGTGATGGTGGGGGTGACGGTGATAGTGGTGGTGATGGCAGCGACAGCGGTAGTTGTGGTGGTGGTGACGATGGCATGGTGGTTGTGATGGGTGGAGGTGGTGGTGATGAGGACGGTGGCATCGTGGTGGTGGGGGGTTGTGACGACGACACTAGTGGTACGATGGCGGCGATGACGATGGTGGCAGTGGTCGTGTCGGGATGATGGTGGTGATGGTGATGATGGTAGAGGTGGAGAGTGATTGAGAGAGATAAGTGTTTCTCATTTTGCCCGGGAATAAAAAAACAGAAATTTTCTGATTCTTTTTTCTGTTCCCCTGCACAAAAATTAAACCGGTTCATCTCGGGAACAAAAAAATAAATCAGTTTTACCAAACGAGTTTTCTATCCATTTCTGTTCCCGAGAATAGAAATTAAAAAAAATTGATTCAAAGAAGGTTGTCATGCACAACCTTGGCTTGCCAATAGATTTAGCGCGGTTGAATTTTAAAATACAAAGACAACCTATTTTCTTGTAGAGATTTAATTCAGTAAAGTAGTTCGGTTCAACTTTACTATTAAATAAGACTTTAATGTTTCTACAAGTTAATGTAGATAAGATATCTGTATTCGGTCCCAAAACGATGTCATTTTGGTTGAAAAATTAAAAAAAATTGTAATGAAATAGGCTATTATAACCTTGAAATAATTTATAATTACAAGAATACTTTGGTTTTTGCCTTAAAACGATGTCATTTTGGACTCAATGTAGATAAGTTGTTTATTTACATTGGCTGTAGAAAAAGCGAACTCATTAAATAAAGGATAATATTTTTCTCAAGTTAGATAAGAGAGAAAAATTTTTCCGGCACTCAATAGTTAAATAAGAAAGAGAGAAAGAATATCAGTTGAAATTGTGGTCTAACAGTGTTGATAAATATAAAAAAGAAAATCATAATATCTTATACTTAAATAAATAATCATTTTGAATTTAGAAAGTTACTGTTGTTCACTTTTGACATAGTAGTTGTTTTTCTTACAATAGTTCTAAATTACAAATGGGCCCAACATATAAAGCCCAACACATCT